GTTTGACCGTGGTCCGGGTTCGGCGTGGCAACTCGGGCCGGCACGAACTCGACTGAAACGGCTTAGCCGATGCACGGGTTGATCGGTGCCACGGTCACTGACCCAGGGGCGTGCTTGGACCACGGCTAATGGAACGACGCGTAGACGGCGAGTCGGATGGACTCGGTGCACGGGCACGCACTCGGGGGTTGACTCGGACTCGGTGCACGGGCACGCACTCGGCGGTTCGGCTCCAACGGTCGAACGAGAGGCAGTCACGGGCACGAGACGATGATACGCATTACGATACGGTGGTTAAAAATTATCCAGATGATACTAGGGTTCAGACAATTATAATCGGATCCAGAAAAATACCCGGTTATCGGAACCGGATAAAACTAGGGTTTTGATTCCAGAAACTCCTAAATCAATTAAGGCCGATATTTAATATACATATTCTATGTGATTTATAATAAATCTATAATCCGCAACTGCAGCTAAAGTCTCAATCAAACTAATATTTTATTATTACTGCATTAATATCTAAAGTCTCGATTTTTATAACTAAGTCAAACAACATCCAAAAATTACGAAAATTGAAACATAACATCCTAAATATATATATAGTCCATGGGCAACAACTCAAGTCAAAAGTCAACTCCTAACTTAGTCAACTAGAAATCGCTACGACCGGTCAACGCATTTGACCGGCTCGTTTACCTACCAAATCAAGTCCGAAAATTATGAAATTTAATCCTACGCCTCAAAATGACGTAACGAATTTTATAGTATATATTTCAACTTTTTATCGCATTTATTCAAAAAGTCGAACATTTTAGCTTTAAGCCCGAACATCCCGATTTATTCAAAATCGCTCAAATCTCCCAATTTATTCTTTTATATCAATTCAAATATTATGTCTAAGCCATCAAAACCGAGATTTAATAATTATACCTCAAAACGACTCGGATCGGGAGGACCGAAAATAGATCGGGTAGGGAATAAGAGGCAAAGAACAAATCGGACCGGATCTTGAGCTACTAAGTTGCTGAAAATAGATTAAAATTGCTGCTGGTCGGACGTGGACTGTAGCTAGTCGTGAACGGGAACTGCTGAGCGGATTCGGACGAAGCTTGTGAAGTGACTTCGCCGGAAGACGAGTTGGAGTTGGTCGTGAACGGAGGCTGCGAGCCTGGTGACGTGAAGCCGCTGGAACAAGGCTGGCTGTCCTTGGATGTGACGGGAACGAGCTAGGAAAAGTGCTCGTCAAAGCTGGTTCGAAGGTGAGCTCGTCTCGCCGGAGAAGACGAAGAGGATGGCGGCGCGTGGCGGTGACGCGCGGGCTGGGATCGCGCGTGGGCTGCTGTGAGGACGACGTGAAGGCTCAGGCTCGCCGGAAATGGAGCAGGGCTTGAGCTGCGAGGCGGGCCTTCGAGCGTGAGTTGCGAGAATGGAGGCAGGCTGGCCGAAAAACGGACTGAGGTGGGCTGAGGAGGATGGTCGGAGCTCGGGCTGAGGAGCTGGT